GAATACTCTGAGGTTGAATAGACTCAAGAGTCCAACTCCTGACTAAATGATCCATCAGGGGGGATTGAACCCACAGGCTTGGTGTTATTGTACCACACTCTAATCAACTGAGCTAATGTCAGAAAGATGACTGTACTTTGATCAAATGTCAAATTTAACCACCTTTTGCTTGAGCAAAGCCATAATTTTTCTTCCTTCCCTCCACCTGCCAATGCATATTTCTTCTGCTGCAAGTATTGCAATAATGTATTACAGCAACAGTCACTATAACAGTGGTAATGATATCACTAACAATAATTATCTTGAACTAATATAGTACCTTACTTCTGGGGATCACACTGTGCTTTAAAATCATCAAAGCTGCCATCTCCTCTGGAGCTTCCATCTGAGTGAAAGAAACTCAGATCCCTGCCTAGCCTCTCTCAGAACATTGCTCCTTTTGTGAATTGTCCTCAATCTAAGCAATAAGGTTTCATCCAGAGCTGAATGAGCTAACAAGCTAGAGGGGGTACCAGAAGTGGTACAATGACACCTACTAAGAGCTGAGCATAAATTTGCTGCTTTCTACACCCAAGGTTTGACCAACTTGATGTATAACAAGATGGTGGGACAGCTCAGGAAGAAATATGCAACTGCAAAAATGAGGCCAAGGCAAGTGACCTAAAAGGAAGGAGGGGGATACTTCATATGGAAGAAGAACAAAAGAGTCAAATCATGGTTTGTATGCTTAGATTTGTTACCCCAACTGATAAAAATGCATTTGTCAAGAAGTCTGCAAACAAGTTAGTGATATTCTAGAAACACTACGAGATATGACAGGTGGAGTAAATCATTCCACTTCTTCAGACAACCCAATTTTATCTGGGTTTAAATTTGGATCTATCTCTCATCTTCATTAATTACTATTGAAATTGCAGGCACTAATCCATTTACCATAGAACAAGCAGGAAACTGAGTATTCAAAGTATGATGAATCAGTGCTTTAACTAGCCAAAACATGACAGGCAAAGCTTGCTGCCGTCACTGGTGATTCCCCAAGAAGAGCATTTATGTAACTGTACAGTTATCCATAATTACACAGTGACAGGCATTCTGCTCACACACTAGGTCTGTTTGTTCTCTGCATTTTTCATAGTGCCCTGTGTCTCATAAAAGCAGTTATACAGACTAATACAGGTGCCAGTAAAATTAATCATTTCAAATGGGGCTGTTCAACTCAGGCAACTGCAGGCTTGGAAAGCATCAGCTCTGGAAATGAAGTCAAAGTCTGGCAATGCTGGCTGGGATTGAAGAAAAGCTCAGGAAACAGAACTGCCCATCCTGGAGGAATCACACTTCTCTGTAACAAACAGCCTGGCTTATGTTTGCTCCTTGCAAAATTACAGCTGGGATTATCAGAGTTGCTTCAGAGTCTAGAATCTGCATCCCAGATGGAAGTTGCACCCTTCCATCCCTTGCCAAGTATAGTCCCATTCACTTCTTTTTCTGCTGTCTAGGAAATCCTAGCAGACATGCAGTAGTTTGGTAATAGCTAATCTGCCTGGTCAGAGTGCATTTTGCCTGTGCTGGAGTTGTTTCTACTCACTCCAGTGAAAAGCAGCACCACCTGCAGAGGGCTGCTTCAGCCCAAGATGTTTTAATAACACCAGATGCAGCTTTTGAGAAGGGATCTCGTGTCTGCTTAGTGTTTGGGCTATGACTTGTATTACTGATTTATAATCTTCAAGTATCAGGCCAAAATGCTTCCTGCTTAAAGTTGGAAATCCATCAAAAGCAGTGACATCGCCCTTTCTTGTGCCAGCTGTAACATGGTCAGACAAGAATGTGGGGCTAAGACTGCTGGTTGCTATGTTGGGATAGGAGATATGCCTGACTAGTGTATTTAGTAAGACATTAAGACACATTAAAGATCATATTGCTCCACTTCTCTGAAAAATACTTATATAAAAAAGGCCAGCACAATATTCCAAGAGCAATTTCCTAGATGTAATCAGTCATTCCTGCTGATGTCAGTACCAGGGATGGGGTTTCAGTGACTCCAGTCACGCTAGGCCTGCCCTTCAGGGACAACACAGTGCCTGAAAAGAGACCTGAATTCTGGTGCTTGCTTTGCAGCAGCTGAAGTGTTTGCTAAGCCCTCACGATCAGCGCCTGTGTGATGACACCAACTCTCTGTCATCACTCAAGGTGTGCTAGCAGGGATGCCACTGGAAGCTGGGGAATGCGCTGCTCCTGGTCAAGCAGCTGATGAACGGTGAGGATGCTGCACGGGGAGGCAGGGGACGAGGCTGCCTTTCCATGTTGGCAGGACAGGCTGTGTGGGGAGCAGCACCTTCATCCTCAGAAATGCAGCCCAAACAGCTGGGCACCAAAGACAAAAGAGCCTCCAGACTCTGAAATCTGCAGGGGATGTTTAAAAAACCAAACTGTATCAAACCCAGGAAAGGGGAGAAAGGGGAAGTACAGCTCTGACCGATCATAGAGAAAACAAGCATAGCTCTGACCCAGCAGAAATGAGAGTGAAATCAAGGATGTGGGAAGCAAGGATTGTCGTCATTAGCAATAAATAAAACCAAATTGCAGTTTAGTAAGAGCTGACCAATATACTAGGTGGCAAAGTGTGAGTCAAAGCAAGTGCAGAGCTGTGAGTCATCCACCTCAAAGGGCTTTATCCTTGGATAAAAGTCAAAAAGAGACAGCTCAGGGAGAAAAAAGGAGTGTTGGAAAGGACAGACAATAGCAGAGCAGTGGGCCTCCTCACAGAGCAGAGGCCACGTGGAGGGCAAGGCAGCTATCAGCCAGTTATTCTCCCTTACTGTTATTTCTGTATGTTTCACAAATACAGGGGTCAGCCTCCTGCTCTGGGAACTTCACCTGCAGCACAAACAAGAACTAGAGCAAGAGCAGAAAGAGGGAAGTGGCACAGAAAGCAAGTCATATCACTAAGGATGTGTGTTTGTGTTTGTGTGTTTAAATGAACAAACATTTATCAAGATTTTTCTCCTGCAGTCCATTTACCATGACTTTATTACTGATACAGTACTCTGCAGGAGCAATACAGCAATTAGTCAGCTGACATGGCTTGGTCTTATAAAGTAAGATGAAAAGCAAGAAACTAAATTACAGGTCAGATAAAGGCAACTGTGATAAGGATCAATGCCATTTGAGAGCGTGAAAACACAAAGTTGGAACTCTTTCAGGTGGGATGGAGAGAGGCAAAAAGGGATGGAGATGATGAGATGGCTAGAAGGACACAGAAGAGAAAGTGTACAGGATGAGAGGCCATCGAGCATCACACACATCTAAACACAGGGTGACGTGAGTTAGTTCTAGATTACAGGGAAGCACAAGGAGTGACAGGAAGAAGCAAAGAAAATGAATATGCAGGATCTCATGCTGCTTCAAGGACAGTAAATACAAGAGGCAGGTAGAAAGAACAGGAAGATGGTCATGGCAATCACATCCATAGTGTCTTCCATCTGCAGAGGAACACTTTAAAGAAATTCCAAAGAAATTTAAAGAAATTCCAAAGGCATCAGGACAGATCAAACCACAGATTTATCACCAGAGGATTGAAGCTAAGAGAGAACTGAGCCATGTTTCCATGTCCTCAGCTCAGTTTCAGAGTGCAAATCTAAATCAGCTCCCTTGATTTAATGTGTATTTTCCATGTTTTACAATACAACAGATGACAATAGAACCTGGTTCACTTATATCCTAGGCAAGGCAGGCATGAGCTGAAGCAATCAAAACCACTGGAAGCTGTGCTGAAATAAGATAGGAAAAAATTAAATAAGTGGGAAGAAATCCCAAAGGTTCTATATATTTTGAGTAATTTCATTTTCTTAGGACTTCTTAAGTCCAGTTTCAAGTAATTCTTCCACATTATCATTATCCCTCAATATCCCCTCACTTATTTCCTTGCAAGTCCCTGTATCAGGTGGGAGAGCACACCTCTTCAACTTTAAGCAAAATTTTGGTCCCACAACCACTTTTGTAGGCACTACTTTTTTATACTTTGACAGAAGATATAGAGCTTTGGCGAGGGAAGGATCTGAAAGAATTAAAATAAGCAAAACCTCTGGATACTGACTGATACAGAACCATAAGTTAGCAGCCTGAAAATTAACCCTACAAAAGGCTGAAATTAGAAGAATGGATGAAATATCTACAGTCGTTACCTGATTATTGAAACATTACAGATATTTTTAGGCATGGGATCTTTAATATACAAAAATATAAACTGGTTTGTTTACAAAACAAACAACTACATATTTTTTAAAATTCTTTGTAATGACAAACATGTCCAGTATTAATGCATTATACTAAGATCTGTGTCTGTCTCCTATCAACAATCTCTAAAGGAGAGAAAGAATGATTGTTAAACTGAAAAGCATCAGTATCGTGAACTTGTAAATAAAAAGGAAAATTATGTCTGCAGGGCTTAGAAATAATATTTAAACAGAGAACAAATGCCACCATGCAGATATACGATGCATGTTTGTACAGAGAAAGCTTAGAAAAAGAACACAACTTCCCTGTATTTATTCATTCTAATGTATTACAGCACAATGTTTAGGCCACATAATAAGCTGTCAAATGAAATAAATTTCATATAATATTAGTTGAATAAAGCATTTTGGAAGATTGAAGTGCAACAGTAATAACATTTTCAACATTACTTTAACAATAATTTCAGCATGTTCACTGGGAGAAAGAAACTTGTATGAAAAATGATTTTTGGTTCTCCCACCTTCAAATGTGCAATTTTTTTCCTTAGGAAAAAAGGAAAATTGAGTGAGCAGGCTGGATTTTTCACTTCTTTGCTAACTATGCATGTAAATAACTTGATATGCATTTATAATTTTACTGAAATCAAGGTGTGGGATGATCCATATTGGAGCATCAAAAGAAAACTTAAGTTCCACAATAAATGCAACAAGGTACACTATAAAACAGCAGGTATAAAGAAGGCTTAAGAAAAAACATCTAGAGCACAACTGAGCAATTCTTTATTTTATGTCTGTCCATGTATCGATGGTCTGAACACAAATATTTAAAACAATTACTGTTCTTTTCATTGCAATGATTATGGTTACATATTCCAGCAATTTTAAAAAACCCTACACTAACAAACAAACTCAGATCAAACACGATGCATTAGAAATGCAATGGATAATTTGTGGATCATTAAAAACATAAGCAACTCCTGTGACTATCCAATAAATCAACAACTGCTGAAGTATTTTAGAGTTTATTAAAAACCCAGGAAACTTAAAAAGCTCATTTTACACTCCAAAAGGACACACATATTGGTTTAGTTTTTCCTTGCAGCTGCCAGACAAGCAACCAGTTTTCCAGCAGCTGCTCAGCCACTGGCCTGACTGTAGGTCAGGAGACGTGTAGCCTCCAAGGGACAATTCCCACAAACCTCCAAGGGACAATGTCCATAAACCTCTTCCATAGAAGAGTTACCAGTTCTGTAATCACAGAATCAATTAGGTTTGAAAAGGCCTCTGAGATCATCGAGACCAATGTGACCCAACACCACCACATCAACTAGAGCGGGGCACAGAGTGCCCCGTCCAGTCTTTCCTTACACACCTCCAGGGACAGTGACTCCCCCACTTCCCTGGGCAGCCCGTTCTAATGTCTAATCAGCCCTTCTGTGAAAAACTTCCTGCAGAAGTCCAACCTAAACCCTCTCTGGCACAGCTTGAGGCCATGTCCTCTCGTCCTGCCTCTGGCTGCCCAGGCAAAGACGCTCCCCTGGCTACAACCTCCTTTCAGGTAAGCGTAGAGAGCCATAAGGTCACCCCCGAGCCTCCCGGTGTCCAAGCTCTCTGGAGAGGCCCGGTCCCTCTGGAGCGGCACGAACGGCGGCCGCGCTGCCCGGGAGGTGCCGCTTTGGGGGCTGCGCGCCGGGGCGGGCGACGGGAGCGCAGAGCTCCCGCAGGGGAGCCCTGACACCGCCCGGCAGCGCCCCGGTGCGCCCCTGCACGGTCGCTGTGCCCCGGTGCGCCCGGTGCGCCCACGGTGCCCCCGTGCATTCGCTGTGCCCCGGTACGTTCACTGTGCCCCGGTGCGCCGCCGCTCGGCTCCGGCCGCCCCCCGCGCTCCGCAGCCGCAGTTCCGGCGGTGGGAGGAAGCGCGGGGCCGCTCCGCTCCGCGCCGCTCGCCGGGGGATGCGGGAGCTCTCCCGCCCCCGCGGCCGGCGGGAGGCGGGCGGCGGCGCGGGCGGGGCGGACGCGTCGCCCCGCAGAGAGCGGCGGGGGGACCCAGCGGCGGGCTGCGGGCACAGGCCGGCGATGGAGGAAGGTGAGGGGCGGCTCCTCAGGCCGCGGAGCCGGAGCCGGGCCGAGGCGGTCGGGGCCAGGCCGCTGGCTCAGGCCGGCGGTGTGGCCGCCCCTCGCGGTCTGTGCCAGGGCACGGACGGAGGTGAAACGCTGGGCTGCAGGACACAGGCGGCCTCCCGGGCCCAGCCCGCCCCGGCGGCCCCTCAGGCCCCAGCCCAGCCCAAGGCAGCCCGTCCTTTGCAGCCCCAAGCGGGAGGCCGGGCCGGTCTCTAAGGGACTGGGGTCTTTTTCACTTCCCTCGCCTGGCATTGTCTCTGGGCAGAGCGCCCGGGGCAGCATCTGTGGGCTCCGTGGATGCCTCCGTGAGTGTACTTTCTTCTTGGCATCCTTCCGTATGTTTTAGTCAGTCTTCTTTCTCGTTTCGATAAGTATTAGAGAGCATCCAAAAGAGGGCTACGAAGGTGGTGACAGGCCTTGGGGGGAAGCTGTGTGAGGAGCGCCTGAAGTCATTTGGTTTGTTCAGCCTGGAGAAGACTGGCGAGCTCTCCAGCTTGCTAAGGAGGGGAAGAGGAGAGGCAGACACTGATCTGTTCTCTGTGGTGACAGTGACAGGACCCGAGGGAATGGCCTGAAGCTGCAAATGGAGGGGTTTAGGTTGGTAACTAGGAAGAGGTTCTTTACCCCGAGAGTGGTTGGGCACTGGAACAGGCTCCCAAGGGAAGTGAACACAGCACTGAGCCTGACAGAGTTCAAGAAGCGCTTTGACAGTGCTCTCAGCACATGGTGTGGTTATTGAAGTGTCCTGTGCAGGGTTAAGAGCTGGACTTGGATCATCCTTGCAGGTACCTTCCAACTCAGTGTATTCTGCAATTCTGTTGCACTTTTAACCTCTACACAAGCTATTTTCTCCATGTCTTTTCAGTGCAAACCCCCTTTGTAGGGGCTATGAGATGGCATTTAGTTTTCTTGGAGAAATCAGGAGAAACAAAACTTTTAATAGGTACCCAGAAAAATGCAGGAGTAAAACAACCATATGCAAATCTGTCCCATGGCATATTCCAACCTCCCAGCTGTTCTCAGCAGGGGTACTTCCTGAGTTGCACATGGTTTCTGTATGTTTAGGAGTCTCCAGTTGCTTTTCCTCCATAACTGTTTCCTTATTCTCATGAATCTCTGCAAACTCTTGGTTTACAGAACATTCTTTGGGTAGGAGTGTTCTGTGTGAAGGTGATGTGCAATGAGCTGGTTCTTTTTAGCCTGACTCATTAGGTTTATTTGAGAACTTTTTGTATTAGAAAAGGTGAATCACTGCTCTCTATTCAGTGTGTTTGTGCACTTCACTAACTAGTAGACGTCTGGCATGTTTCTGTTGGTCATCCTCTTTTCTAGACTGAGGCATCTTCAATTTGCTTCCTTGTATGAAAGCCATTGCACAACTTAAATCACCCTCATGGCCCTTCTCTGAATGTTTCCCAGCTCTATCTTACCCTTCTCTAGATGAGAAGACAAAAATTACAGACAGTGCTCAATTAGTAGGTGAAAAGTAGATGAATGTAGTGGCACAAAGTAGGAATGAGTTATGTTTTTCTGCAGTAGAAGCACAAAAATAAGTGGAACACATGTTTTCTGAGCAAGAACTTGTTTGAACTGGGCACTTACATGGAACTGAAAAGCAGATGAAGAATTATGTGCTGGATAGAGAGTTACTAGAGGCTGTGTCATCAGTTCAAAATTCTAGATAATTCTTATTGTTACCTTGTTTGACTTTCATATCACTCTGAAGGATTCATTGAAGTGAAAACAGCATTTTTCTTGTTTGCGGCAGCAGCAAGAAACAGAAGTAACTCACTCACATCTTTTTGTGGTATTGCTTTGGGGTGGAATATGTAGAGCAGTCTTCAAAACTGAGGTGAAGATCTTTTGCTGATTGAGATGTTGTTTCAGAAGTAGAATTTTAAACTGTTCCTTCTTTGGGAGCTTTCTCTTACTGCTGTTAATGCTGTGCTTTATAAGTTTGTTACACTTCTGCTATGGTTCACTTCTCTGCCAGAGAAGCAAAGGCCTTTTCCTCCAGTGTTCTCAATGCTGTTGCTTTGATCATAACTAGAATGACAGGGGCACTCAGTTGTCCTTCCAAGCACATATCTGCCCACTTTTGTGATCTAGGGTTTTCTTCTCCTGTGTTTTGTTTTGCATGGTACAAATTATTTTTAACTGCAGTGCACTTGGTGTTTGCATTGCTGATAGACTTCTCATATACATGTCATGAAGACATGCTAGTATACATTTCATTTTGGATTGACATGAAGATAAATGTGATCCTGAACACTCTACACCTTGTGTTGTTTAGAATCTTTCCAGTTCTTGTCTTGTTTAAGAAGGTAGACATTTTCTGTTCATTCCATGAAAAATGTTACCATTGAGATCTTGGTTTGCTCAGAGTGAGTCATAATTTGCTCTGTTAACACACTGGTGTCCTGATACAGGCAGACATCGTTTTAACCATTTATATTTCTATCTCTAGTTTCTAACTTTTAGATTTAATAGCCAGGAATTAAAAGCAGACTGAATTAGAATTGAAGTAATTAATATACAACCAGGGTACTTAAAAGCTTTGTTGTGGGGTGTGAAGATTGACACTTCAAGTTTGAAGTTGGGTGGATTTATGAAGGAGCTGTTTTAAGTCCAGAGGAAAACTGGTGGCTGCAAAATTTCAAGCAATGTTGGACAGTAGGTCAAATGGGAGAGCTAAAAATTCTGGAGCGTGAATTACAGTTAAACCTTTTCATTACAGTTCCAGAATGGCATCAATGTTGTGGGGTATCGTTAATATAGGAATTATAAAATACTTTTTGCAATGAGTCTTTTGGTATTCACAGACCTACAGTCTGTGAATTAGCCTCATTGCCTTTCAGACTGTAAAATAAATGGACCAGGACTCCAAACTGCTGCTGCTCACAAAAAAGTGAACAGAAGCCCTTGGTCTTGTGATGTGATCTATGTGGCTTAGCAAACTGGGCTTTAAAATTATGTGTTAGACTAAATATTCATAAATTGCTTAGTTCCAATAGATCCAAAAGCAGGGAAAAAAGTTATATTACATTTGCTTTATAAAAGCCTTTGCTAAATAAATAATGGGCATTTCAATTTAAAAGTAATGGGCTAGCCCAATTTTTGTATTACACTGCTATAGCACCAAAAAACCAGGATGAGGAATTGGCACCAGTTTCTCCCAGTGTCTGCATCAATTTATCTAAACTGCTGATTTCCTTCATTTGTGTTCACCAAATGAAACAAACCAGTTAGCTTCCAGTTTGGGTTCTGGCTAGTCCCAGAGTATGGCCTCAAGAGAATACTGTTGTTTTTTCTAAGGAATAACATAAGAATTGATTTCTGTAGTGTTATATTGTTATTTTAGTTGGGCATATGACATACTTTAACTGAGTCTTTGTCAAATGTATCTTCCATGGGATTGAATCGGTAGCAGTAACTGGGTGCTACCTGCTGCTGTGTGGATTTCCCAGTGTGATTTTATGTGTTATGTTGCAATAACTTGAAAAAAAATGTCTTCAGGGGCAGCAGACCTGCGACAGAGAAAGAAACAAAACTGCACAGAATCTGACAAAATGGCTCCAGAGGAGAGAAACAAAGAAAATTCAAAGCTGGGAAAGTCGCCAAAATGTAAGCTACAGAATTTTTAGCTGACTTTTGATTGTTTTTTCATTATTCTCTTACATTTTATGGGAAGATATTTGTAGCATGGTAATGTATAACAGACTTAATTTGAATTAGGTTTTTGAATATTTCAAGGGAAAATAGGCATGCACACTGGAGTTCTTTAATAATGACATTTTATGCACTGGAGAGTGAAATGGTCGTCTTGGACTGTTTCAGGCTTGGGGAGGTAGAGGCAGGGGAGTTAAAAATTTACTATTACTGTTTGCATACAAATAATATTTTTATTGCTCCTGGAATGATCTTCTGGTTGGAAGCTGATATGCATGAAGTAATGGTACTGAATCAAGAACAGACAAAAAGTCCTTACAGCTTTTCAAAAACAGAAGTAAAATTAGGTATAATTTTAGGCTAGTGCTCACCAAGCTACCAAAAGCTTTTGTGTTAAAAGTACATACTAACTCAAGGGAGCTACAGGTGAAGTAGACACCCTTTGAATGAGTTTGGTAAAATTCAGATTAATTCATTCTTATATTCAAGAACAGAATGGAAAATAGAATGTCTCAGAAATTATGTTAGATGTGCTATGCCACCTCTGTCTGTTAATGTCTTTTAGAAGTTTGTGGTGTTTTGGGTAGAATCTAGAGTTTGCTCTATTTATCTGGAAGAGGCTTTTCCTTCTTGGAATTCATTTGACAACAAAGCTTGCTGGAGAAAATTTGCAGTGTAGTGTGTTGAATATTTTGTCTGAAGGTCCTGTGAAGCAATGATAACAACTGGGAAAGAAAACTACAAGACAGGAGTAACAAACCAGTTTTCAATGTATCTGTGCTGCTGATGGTATGATAATTCTCATGCCAGTAAGGTCGCTTGTTGTTCAGAAAGAAGAGTCGTGTAGGATGTACCGTTTGTTTCTCAATCCTCTGGACTATTTTGTTCATTTTCAGATATGCTAATCCAGCGTTTTGCAAAGCTTTTCTTTGGCTGTCTCGCAGCAGTCACCAGCGGAATGATGTATGCTGTGTACCTCTCTACATATCATGAACGGAAATTCTGGTTTTCCAGCAGGCAGGTAAAGATAAACTACTGAAACAGAAGCCAAATTGTGTCCTTGAAATCAAATCTGATCCATGTCATGTTGAAACTACTTGCAGTCCTGTGTCCTTTTACTGAGGCCTCTGTCTTTGAAACAACTTCTTTTTTTTTGTCTTCTTTATTTTCTTTTTTTCTCCTCCTGCTAACAGTTGTCGTGGCTTGTCATGCTTTTTTATATTTTTCCATACCACCCTTTATCCTTAAAATACCTTTCTAAAATATAGAAAAATAGCTGAAGCATACTGGGATTGCAGAAGCTAATCAACAGGAATATGTGTTGGGCTTTTTGGACTTTTTTTTTTGTGTTTGGATTTTGGTGGGGTTTTTTGTGTTTTATGGTTGGTTGGTTTGGTTTTGTTTTCTTAAGAACTCCATTACTAAGTGAAGTATAGAAAGTCAAATGAAATTCGGGTTTGTGAATATGAAAAGTTCCTGTGGATTTTGTGCTGACTTACAGTGTGGATTTGAGTTGCTCAGATTCCAAGCATGTTTGCTAAGTTACAGAGAGCATTATGTACCTGATAGAAATGCTGTGAAGATTAATGTTTTGTGGAATATTTTGAAGATGTACAATGAAGTCATAACCATGTACTGTGTTACAAAACTGGTCTATCTGAAAATACATTGTCTTCTCAGGAAAGAGATTTCAGGCGATTAATATATTTTTTTTTTCTAGGAACTTGAACGAGAAATTACATTTCAGGGTGACAGTGCCATTTATTACTCGTTCTATAAAGAACTGCTAAAGGCTCCTTCCTTTGAAAGAGGTACAAAATTCATTTGTTTTATTAGCTTTGAAAAGTGCTGTTCACTTTGAAGACAGTAAAAAACTCCTGCAGACTGGGGAGACTAATTTTATTTTCTTATGTAGGTATATTGGTCATATTAATTCAAAACCACACACTGTCCTAATTTTTCAGTGCCTTTTCAAAAACAGTGTTTAACTACCCTGTATTCCAGCAGATTGCCTTTAATCAATACTCTAGGATAGGGCTTATATTACTCTTATTATGCCCTGTATCAAAGTTATCATTGGGTTTGCCTGTGTCACAATAGTGGATTTTCCTGCCATGTAAATATAATTTATGTTGAATTTGGGAATGAGGGATGAAAATTACTGTTTTCCATCCTCTGTCAAAAGACAGAACAGTTTCTGTCACAAGCTGATCTGCTCCATCCTGTCCCTGCCAGAAGTTTTTAATCTTGTCAGCTGTGATGAATAAATAGATGCTGATGAGCACTGAGTGGTGGGGACAGAAAGGAACAGGAAGGAGAACAGACTGGGTGACAGTGATCTTCCTTTGTGCTCCTGCTCTGGCTCTGGGGCTCTGTGACCCTGGGTCCCTGAACCAAAAGGAAACTAAAGCAGTGAAAAGAAGAAGGAGCACTTCTATGCTTGTTCAGGGAGTTCAGAATGCACTGCACTAGCATGGGGCTGGAACTCAGGAGAGAGGACGATGAGCTGCCCTATCTTGCAGTGGTCAGCCACTGAATTAGTTCAGTCCCTTTGTGAAACCTCACTGAAGCCAGTAAAACTAAACTTCGTGGTTAGTGTGTTATTGGTTGAATAGTGTCCCAGCTGAAATGTAGCACATCAGCAATATCTGAGATCTTTGGTACACTCAGTGCCTCGTATCCTCTGGGGATATTGCCCATGCTGTGAGTGGATGGACTGCATGCCTTATTCAGGGACGCCATCTCTGCAAAAGGTAGAGTCATGTCTACAAGGTATTACAAGGTATCCCGTCTTCAAGAGATTATTACAGCTGTGCTGAACCCAGTTCTTAAACTTTCAGGACTTAAAACTCAGTTTTAAGTCCTGAAAGAGCTGGTTTGGCCTACAGGGAACCAACTGCACACCATACACCAAGATATGCTCAGAGCTGGAGCAGTTGTCTGGTTTGACTGTTGCATTGTTTTTGAGGCTTTTGGTCTCCTCTATATCTTGATTTGGGTTGTTTTTGCTCTTCCCTCTGTTGTTCTAAGTATTGACAAGTCTTTTTTTTATTTATAACATTTTGGAATGATCTTGATCCTTCAAGTATGGCAGTTTCAATTCCATCTTAACCCCATAGAAAGGCACGTTGTGTTTGGCGAAGGATTCTTAGAAATCTCAGAAACGCAGAGCTGAAAGGGGTGATGAGGCCGTCATATCTGATGTCCTTCTGGAGACACGTTTAATACATCCTGCTCATCCCTGTTAGATCTGTCTCACTCCTTAAGATCTTCCTGTGAAGGTGATCTATAGGCATGTAGTTCCAGACTGCATCAGTGTGTTACTGAAAAGACTGTGCTTCAGATGGTAAATTTTGGGCCTTCTGTTTAAAGACTGGATAACAAAAGGGTAATAACTTCCTAGCTAGATCAGTAGGTGGAATGACATCTAACACAGAAGTTTCTCCTTCCTTTTAAACTTGGTGTGGTGAACCAGTCAGTAGCTTTAATGATCAAATCTTATTCTCCCTGCCTTTGAATACACTTCAGTCTCTTTTAGGAACAGCAGTAGTAAGTGATTCCAGGAATATTTTTTTTTTTTTGTCTGTAGGTGTTTATGAATTGACACACAACAATAAGACAATATCACTGAAGACCATAAATGCTGTCCAGCAAATGACTTTGTACCCAGAGTTGATTGCCAGTGTTTTATATCAAGCATCTGGTAGCGAAGTATGTGCATTTATCCTATTTTCTGTACTTGCATTTTGGTTGTGTGTATGTGTGTACTTGCATTTATCTGTGTGTGTGTGTATGAGACTTTCTGTGCTATACCCAACTAATACATACATTTTTTGTTGAATGAGTTGAGCTAAGGCTCCCACCACGTCCAGATTCTCCTCAATTCTGATCAGTCTCTGGCATTTTTGGGGTTTAACACTAAGCAGTAACTTTTTCTGTTATTCTTTACTTCTACAGACTGCTTAGAAATGTCAGGAGTATCTGTGCTATCCATTAAAAACAGCAGAGTTAGTTAACTCCTTTGGAGTACAGAAGTCTGTTATAGTGGTACCTGTCTGCCCATTCTCATAGGGAAAAACACTTCTGTAGATTGACCTTTTGTCAGTTTCCACTTTACTCAGGCTTTGTTCTGCTTATGCTGTGTACTTGTGTCCTCTCTCATTATCTTTCCTTTTTTATTATTTACTTATTTTGGAACCATTTTTGCCACATCTTTACGTCTTCAAGTTCTTCCCTTTTTTAACTTCTCCTAGTAGTCCTCTGAACTTTATATCCCACTGCAGCATAGATTATTAAATCTGACACGTAGAGTGTTCAAGCTAAAGCAAATTCAAAAATCGTGGCACTGGCAAGCTGAGTCCTGAAGTGTGCACTTAATTCACACTGCTTTGTTCTTCCCCATGTTTTATTTGAGCCCCAAATAAAAGCATGCCCAGTACTTTTCTAAAAAAGGAGGCGTCTCTTACCTGTTTGTAAAGCACCTAGCACATTGTTAGCAGTAACAAATTGTAAATAGTAATAATTTCCAGCTTCAGCTCAGTTGCCACTATGTCTCTTCGTTTTTATTTTAATTTCAGGAAGTTATTGAACCAGTGTATTTCTACATTGGTATAGTTTTTGGACTGCAGGGAATTTATGTGACTGCATTGTTTGTAACCAGTTGGGTTATGAGTGGGACTTGGCTGGCAGGAATGCTGACTGTAGCATGGTTCATTATTAACAGGTAAGAAAAACATCTTTATACAATCTAGTTTGTCAATAAGGAATTTTAAAATATTAGTAGATTGAAGTGATTTTAATTAGTGGATTTAAATGCTTCTATTAAGCTTTGTGTTCTCACTGTGAGAGCAAAATCTTATGGTGAATAGAAAACATTTCCAAGAGCTTAATTGATTCTTATGATGATTTTTTTTTAATGGAAAGGCCTCCCGTTGTCCAGATCATCCACATTACCAGCTGAACTGACTTTATGTATGTGTGTGAATACAGGAGTATTCACACACAATTTCATTTTTAAAAAATAGTCCTCAGAAGGTTTGGTTTTGTGCTGGTAAAGAATGAAGACAAATGTTGAAAACAGCTGTAAAACAGAGCTGCGCTCTCTGGCCAGCTCTAAATGTTGTGGCAGTTGTGCGGTAGCATAGAAAGAAATTATCAAGTGCATTTTTTTTGGTCAAGAATATTTGATTTTTTCTTAAGTCTTCTTTTTGTAGTGGGTTTTTCTGCAAAATGGAATTTTCTTAGAAGATCTTAACATCAAGACTTTTTTTTATTTTAAAACAATTCACTTGGAATTCCCCTTCCCCCTGTGAAGCGCCACAATAATAGGGAGCCTCATTTGGGCAATGAAAATGTATATTCATGCTCTTGGTTTGTCACCATGGAACTCTGGGGCTTTCTGTGAACTTGAGAGCACTTGAAATAAAAGAACTATAGAGCAAAATGTTGGAGATATACCTTTAAAGTTGAACTGTTGGGAAGCATCTTCCAGGAGTGTGAAGTCGTCATGACAGAATCTGTGATTAGTAGCTGAAAATACTGTTCATCAAGCTGGTGTGAACAGTCGAAAATAGGAAAAATGGTGAATAAATCTGTAATTTTTTTCAGCAGTGAATAAGATTAAACAGTGTCAGCAAAATGAAAGGTTTAGTAGTTAAAAAAGCTCCAAATATGCCTCTGTAAGAGGCTTCAGATGAAAAAATGAAAGGTAATGCTTTTAAATACCTAAATGATGAAGGAGCTTGAGGCTCCTTTTTAAAGGCGTAGTAGACACAAAGCAGACTATGTACCTCTGAGACTGATACCTTTGACCACATTTGAAAGTGTAACTTGTGTTTCTGAGTCACTTTAGCACTTTTAAAAACTTTCACCTGCGCCTCTAATTGTGTGGATACTGTCAAGTCATTCCATGAGAAAACCCTGCATGCTCCCCATCCATCTTTAATCTCTTGTTTTGCTGGGCAGAATTTTTCCCTGTAGACAAAATATTTGCTGCTGTTGCTGTGAGGGAGCACCAGTTTATATCCTAAGTATGTTGTGCTTAACTACCTAAATCACTTGTTTAAAACATATTGTATGAGAACTGGAAGGAATCTTTTCTCTCAGCTGTGAGCTGATTTTCATTGCCGGTCAGAAAAAGCTCAAGGCAGATGCTTTTTGGCTTCAGTCCTATAAATGCCAGTTGACATGAAAACTGCTAAATGGATGAGTAAAGATTGGGCCTTCCATGCTGTTAATAAATTTGTGAACTGTATAGCAGCAAAATTGTGTCAGTGTTACTTTGCAGCAAAATCAGGAAAAGTTTGCTTGCAAAGGCCACATTTACAACTAGAAGTGGCATTTAGGCTTTCCTTGATATTTTTGTACAACAAATATTTTAATATTTCTGTTTCTTTGTATTTTATTCTAGGACAGACACAACAAGAATTGATTATTCCATACCATCAAGAGAAAATTGGGCTTTGCCGTATTTTGCATGTCAAGTAGCAGCTCTCACAGGTTATTTAAAAAAGAACCTAAACTGTTCTGCTGAGGTAAAGCAAAATTAGTTTCTTAATAAAGAGCTGTGGATAAAACTGTACTCTAGATTAGTTACTTCTGTTATTGTTGCCCTTCTGGGCAGAAAACAGTAGAAGTTTTGTTTCTTCTTTTCAAAAGAGCCAGTTGGATTTCACCTAGGCATGTGCAGTTTTTGCTACACAACTTGTGCCCTACCTTGTTATGCCCCCAGGAAGGTTCAGAGAGAACAGTGTGGTAATGGGCCCTGTGCTGCTTGGTTTTGAATAAACCTAGGCAGAATTTTTCTCATGTAAACTGTTTTTCTTGAAGAAGATGGTTGTTACTTTCTTACCCTGACTCTGTCTTAAAAATATTTCTTCTGATTGGCTTGAAATTTTCAATTGGTTTTTGAATATTTCAGTAATTACTTTCTTCCATCTGAAAGTTAAGCACGTCTGAAGTCAGTATTTTAATTATTTCCCAGAACAATAATTAATTTCTGTAGTTTATGTTTTAATGACCTTTCAGTTACTTGGTGACAGACATGCATGGGTACAAAATTAATGCTTTTTCTTTTCTTTTTTCCTTCTAGAAGTTTTGTTATCTTTTGGTGAATGCCTCAACATATACCTTCATGATGATGTGGGAATACAGTCATTATCTCCTGTTTGTCCAGGCCGTTTCTCTTTTCCTACTAGACAGCTTTGCCCTAGCACAGACAGAGAAGGTATTGGAACTTTTCAGCCTACTGACAGTTGGGGACTTACAGGCAGCCTTTGAGGTGTCCTGCCATGCATACTCCTCAGGAGCTCCAGAGGGCACAAGGCTGGGAGATTAGTGTCTTGCAGCCTGGGCCCAGCTGAAATGCATGTGATGCCCATCAGAAGAATAAAATAACTTTAAACTGGGTCTCTTTTGGAATGCTGTTTTTGGGATAGAAGCTAAACAAAGCTTCTGAGACCTGAAACATCCTTGGAGAGCTAAAAGAGTGATCAATGATATTCCTCTGTTTTGGGCTAGCTGCCTCTTTTCTTTCTCCTATTCACAGCAGGGTGGGCAGACCAACGAAGGGCTTTGTTGGCTCTGTGCAGTTAAAGGGCTCATTTTCACCCTCAGCGGCCTGTCCTGCACTGCTTTCGCAATAGATAGACTAGACAGATGTTGAAGGCAAATTGATTTTTGAATACAAGAAAGTATTTAAATTTATTCTGCAAAATGGTTCTTAGAAATGTTGCAACAAGGTGTTTTTATTCTGCCTGCTGCAGTTGTATATATGCTTCTTTGTACATGCATGCCTTTTGATTTTGTTAGATATCAAACTGCATGCAATTCTAATTCTCCACCTCTTCTTTCAGTTTCTTTTTATTCTGTTCCTAAACAGTGGGAAATGTTTGGTCTATTGTAGTTCAAAGCAGAGTGTATAAGGGAGAAAATGGGTGTTTTGGTAAAAATCTGAAGAATCAAGCATCAAGGTTTATAACATCTGCTTATCAAGTAGTAAATAACAGCAAGTATAGATAACAGTCATTATTCATTCCTGAGACAGATTAATGAACAAGTTATTTTGAGGGCAAGGAAAGCACCTGTTTACATGTGAGCTCTGTCACAAACTGTGTGTTCTTACTTGTGCCTTACTGCTTCATGCTGCATCACAGGGGGATGTTACTGAATGGGGAGACCCGGTAAAATACTCCTGTTTCTGACATTTTTACAGAATTCTTGTGAAGTAATTGTCCATTAGATAACGAGGCTGACCAGGATAATTTTCATGTGCAATGCTTTCCAGAGCCAAATGGTACCCTGCTAGATTAATGAGTTGAAGGATTGAAATCCATTCATCCCCTGATTAACAGAGGAAGTGAGCTATCTACTGGTCTAAAAACTAGGATTTATATCCTAGTTTTATTTTATTGTTTATTTTTTTTTCTTCAACAGGTGCACGAGGTGTACAGAATCTACCTTTTTTCTGTCATTGTGGGATACCTTCTGCAGTTTGAAAATTCAGCCTTACTAGTATCACCATTACTGAGTCTTGTGGTAGCTTTAATGCTCTCCAAATCCCTTCAGGTAAGTAGACTTTCTTCTAACCCTGATTGTAGTTTTAAAATTTAAACAGAACTCTAAAAATTATACAGCATTCTTTAAATATTTTTTGCAGATGAATATGAAAAAAAGCACATTTGTGTCAAGATTGCTGAAAATAATGTATATTTATTTGGTACTTACAGTAGCAGTGACACTAAACTTCTTATTAAAGGTAAGATTCCTCTAAAAAAGTGATTTTAATTTCAGAATCTAAATTAAAAGTGGCAGATACATCTTGAAAAAATCTTTTAAAATGTTGCTTATCTTATTGATATGACAGTTCGTAGCTTAATTCGTAATTAGTATGTAGCAATTCCAACAGCTTCGTTATGTTGGGGTTTTGGTCTTCTGGGTTGAAACAGTATAGAAATACTCTTTAAAAGACACTTTATCTGTTTTATAAATATGGGATTTGTTATAACTTGAATGACCTCTACAGACTAGTCTGAATATTAAAACAATATTCTTGTGCATGGTGACACAATAGCCAGGAGTAAGTATGAGTGGTCTTAGGGTACATATTAATTTTCCTTTACATTTCAAGTAGAATATGGGAACAGAGGCTTTCCCTTTGTGTAGGAGTCAGTTAGGAGTTGAGATTACACAGTGGGATTTTAGCCTGGTCTTGTACTTTGATTAGGAATTCCCTCTTGCTGGCCTTTTACACATATTATTGTGTTTTTCTTCTGTGCCTCAAACTCACCATGGTTGTGTTAATTAACAGTATTAACTTAAAAGTAAAGAAACTACTGAACCCTAGAAGGCTTGAAAGAATGCTCACGTGTAATTATTTTCCTGTGCCATTCAGAATGGCTAGCCTTGCTGTATCTCCAGGAAAATAAAATCCAACCTTGAAAAATATGTGTTAAATTACAGTTATGAGTAAGTTGCAAAACTTTAGGCAGCTCAGACAGTCTGTGTGAAGATTACAAATGCTCATGACTTCTGCTCAGCTGCTGTCCTATTTTCTAGTGGAGCCAAGTGCAGCACTCTTAGGATTGCTTGGGAGTAAGTCTGGGTCTGTTTTTCATGATCCTTTTACGCTGCTCAGTAGTCTTTTGACAACTTATTGGCAGCTTTTCACTTGCCCTCCTGGTGTGGTATGGGAGTGGAATAAGGGAATAATATTCTCAAGGAAACCCTAAATGTAGATTTATTGAAGATTTACAATGCTATACCAGTACCTTCACTAGCACACTTAATCCATTTTGTTAGTTTTAACTAAGTCTTGAATAGTTGATTGTTACCTGACATTTTGTAATCTGAATGACTATGTGAAAACTGCTTCCAGCATTTTGTGTGATTTTTCTCTGCTAAATTAATTTTCAGATGTTCATTCCTCATAAAGAAAATGAGCATTTGCTGAAGTTCATTGAAGTAAAACTTGGCTTAAACACAACTAAGTAAGTTTATTTAAACTCTTTACACCTCCCAAGATATCAAAACTTTTGAAACTGCTCTGAGAAGTGTAACATTACAGTGGCTTGTGAGAGTTTTATAGAGGAGCTAGGGAAATAGTTTAGTTATTTGTTGTCTGGTTTTAAGACTGAAATGAAAAAATATGCACATACAGCATTTACTTAGGGTTTTGAGGTTTCTGAAGTACTTCAGTATTTTTCATGCCTTAGGGTGAAAGCATTTCATGGATTTTTGTTCTTTTGTGATGTTGAAGAGTGAAAACTTTCTGTATCCTGTCTAGTGTTTCTAATAAGACTTGAAAGCAAAGATAATAGGGTAAAGGTGGCAGTATGAGCTTTTTATAGCCTGGAAAAAAAGGCTCTGGAAAGAGTCATGAACTATTGATACTATCTCAAAAGAGGCTTGGCTTGTGGGTACCCCCAATATTCCCTGTATGTTTTGGAAGAAATTAGGACAAGGGACATCTTAAAAGTCAGAGGGAATTGTGATTCTAAAAAAAACATTAGTATCTGTAAAAGAGTTGGATGTTGGACTGCAAGAAGACGTCATGGCAACAGATTTTCTGGAAAACTTCCAGTGGAGTGTTAGTAAGGACTGACACACTCCTGGACCCAAGCCAAGACTTGCAATTCTGTGCAGGAATTGGAACTCTCTCTGAAGAACTGCATCTTTCTTACAAAAAACTACTTCACAGCCTTTCAGGGGAACAAGTGGAAAATGGCATCACACCCAACTGAAACTGTTGGGGAACTTTTGGAAGACAGATGTTTTTTACAATGCGTTGTTTATCACACACACATACTCATTCTTAAGTGTTTTGTAAGAAAAGAAAGGACTCCTGGTCAGGATTTCAGTTTATTCAGCTCCCAGGTATTAATGGATTTCCCTCTTTTTCCCCCTGGGCCTTGCTAAATATCACTTTTCAGACTGTCAGACTCTGCAATGAAGCCAGAGATTGAGACAAACTGGGCGCCTTTACGCCTGGAACGCTCTGTAACTGTGTATTGGAGTTACGATTTGCAGCACAAGAGCTTCAAGATCAGTCTTTTAAGGCCAGTTTGGACATGCCCAGCTGTTAATCTTTAAACTGATTCTGTCTAATTGAAAGTGGTTCTGTCCTCTAGTCTTCCCTTGGGAGAAAATGAAAGAGGGAGGGAAGCAAAACAAAGTAAGACAAGAATGCATTCACAGGCACCACATGCTGCACCAGTTCCAGCTGACAATACACACTGACAGTGCTTCTGAGCAGAGTGTATTACCTTCCTCCTTGCTAGCTGAGAAAGAAGAATGATAAAGTGGCTTCAGCTACAGAACTAGAATTTCAACATTAAGGATTTTATTCCTGTCAGTGTCTCAGGCTTTTTTGTGATCTCAGATGACCACTTTCCTTTCTTCATCTCCTTGTTTGGAATGAGGACAAGCATACCTTCTTGCATCAATATCTCTGAAATCTTAATCCACCGTGACAACAAGATTCTTTTGGTCCCCATAATGGAGTTATGTGGGAGGTTGGGCTTTTGTGATATAAAGGATTTGTAGTCTGGTCTCTTCAGATCACAGATACTTTTTGGGAAGATAGACTTTTGACAGTTACCTTGAAGAGTATTTGTAAAGCAGTTTCAAATGATAAAAAGATAACATCAAAGATTAATTTCAAGTAGTTTCCTATGACATGAATAGGTTAAACTGCAATTGTTTTGTGCTGGATTGTTGGGTTTTTTCCTAATCTATGGGATATTATTACTGTTTTTAATGGAATGTTTTTGCCTTACTAGGAATTTTACAATGAATTGGCTCCTTTGTCAAGAATCTCTTCAGGCACCCTCCCAAGACTTTTTTTTGCGACTAACGCAGTCATCACTGTTGCCTTTTTATATTTTAGTATTAATTATCTGCCTTTTTTCTGTAACTCAGGTCATTTTCAGGAGAATTTGGTAAGTAACTTGTTTATGTGAAAAATAAGTTTAAAATAAGAGGTTCCTGAATGCCTCAGGGAATGGTCTGTCACTCCAAAGTTTGTTTTACTATTGAACTTGTCAGGGTGTGAGCACCAGTGGGAAGGCCCACCAGAGCCTCCTAAAGAAAAGTCCTTTAGTGAGGAGGTTCTTGAGCATCCCTCCTGTCAGGACAGGGAGTTGTCATTGCTTTGTTTCCCTGCAGGTGCAATTCCTGCTGAGCTCTGGCTAATGTTTGCTGATGTGTTTATGTCTTCCCACTGACAGAGAAAGATTACAAGATTTTATGTGTAATTCTCCTAGAACTTGATTTTCTGTTTTGGATTTGGGGTTTTTGTTTTTTTTCCAAGTTGAGAAAGGTGAGATGGATGGAGCTGAGAGGGCTTTGGATTTCTGATGCTTCAGTGTTGGTTTTTAAAAACACTTGTTTGCTTTGATAAAGTCCACTAGCCTTTGCTGCTTGGAACAGAACTAAAGTAAAACTGACTCAATTAGTTTTAGTTTCACAATGATTCACAGTTCCCTCAAGAGAAGGGGTAGTGGAACTGTCTTTGTAAAAAGACTAAGAATACCAACAGTGTAGATCCTAGCATAACTTGTCTTGGAAACTCAGTGGTTAGGAAATTATCTCTTCCTGGTAGAAGATGAATGGGGTAACTTCTCAGATACTGGAACAAATTTCTCACTTGTCTGCAGCAAAAATCAATAGATTTATTTCAAGGATGAAGGCTTCTAACAGATAAAGATTATGCTGCTGTAAATGAAAATGTTTGTCAGGTTGAATGTGTGATAGGATATTCAGAACAATGGAGCAAATTTCTTTTTGTTTGCTAGTGGTTGAAATAACTATTTATTACTTTGTAATGAGCAGTGACTACATTATGTCCAACACCTTTTTAAAGGAAATCTTAAAAGAAACCTTTTCCTCTCTCTTTTTTTTTTTAAATAATTTAACAATCTCAAAATATTTTTTCTAATTTTCATGAGGAAGCTTATTATAAAAATGTAAACAGAAATCACATCATGGTAGAAGGAATTGTTATCGATTCTGTGCCTTGCTATGTTAGTAGAAAACCTTTCACTGCAATATTTTGGCTATGATTTTTATTTATTATATATAATTAGAATTTATAATAATGTGACTAAAAGCTACTTCTGTTGTCTTTGTTGTACACATGTTCCATACACAATTATCATCCTACAGATTCCATAATTCTTTACCATGCTAATGGTATGAAGGAACTTAAAATGCATGTTCAGCATGATTTGTGTAAATGTTTGTAGAGTGTACATGCTCTTAAATTAGACTGTCTCTTGGTGCTGGATTACCTTAAAGTAAGATTTGTGGTCATAAGCAGTGATCCCATTGTATTATTGACAGCCATTGCTCCAGAGAGGTTGCAATCTAAATCAAGGGACAGTGGGTACTGATAGGTCATTGATCAAGTACAAAAAGCAAGTAAACAGTGCAGCAATATTATATGTTATGATATGGAATTATCTCAGTGCACTGCTGACTCAAAGGTATTTTTATTGGCACCTTTTCCTGGGATAATATCTGAATTAAGTGATGTCTCATTTTCTCCAACTGCAGTGGTGAACCACTGAAAGAGACAGTTAAACTTGAGGATGGTCGAATTGGAGAGAGGCCAGAAATAGTTTATCATGTAATTCACACAATTTTGCTTGGTTGTCTAGCGATGTGTTTGGAAGGGTAAGTCTGATTTTGATTTCACTCTTTTGAAAGCAACAGAGTTCCTTACTGGACATGATGCACTGTTTACCCCTTTAAAATCACCCTTTTTCAGAAATAATGTTGACATATAGTGATGCTACTTAGGAGTAGTCAAAGATAATTTTCATTATAAGTTGCATATGGTTATATGAACACTTGTGCTTGGTCTCTTTAACTTCCAAGCCTTAATGCAGCCAAGATCCAAGACATTAATTGAATCACATTTTAATAACTTTCTTTATGGTATATAAGTGTAGAACTGTGCTGCAATTATTTTTAGCAAGAACGCGTGTAGTGTTTTGATGAACAGAATAGTTCTGGAATATTGTGACATGGAAGATTTCTTATCCATCTTCTTCTGTGTAGGCTACCACAAAGTGTACTTTTGCTTGACACGTTAAAGCAGTAGCAGAACCAATTTCAAAAGTATTGTGTTAGTCCTTAAAGCTGGAGAAGCTGATGTTTGGAAGATGTTGTTGTTCTAATCTTGTTTCTCAGCTTAATCAGCTTGAAGATGTCAGGTTGTGTTTTTATTAGGCTCCTCATCCTAAAATCTAAATATTCACAACTGTTGCTTAAAGTGAGCAGACTGTTGTCTTGTCCTGTAGTTTTTCTAAGTTAACTAGTCTGCCCTTAAGAGTTAATTAAATATTTTCCTTTCCTTTCTTCTGGAAGTCCCTAATAGAACATTGTCTGTACAGCTTAGCTGATTAGCTGCTTTTTATTCCTTCTTGGCTGGAAAACCAGCCAAGTGACTTTACCATTCTCTTTGTTTTTCTTTCATCCTCCCCTGAACTCTCTGAAGGATTTTGTCATCTTTTACCTTGGATCTTTCTCCTCCATTTCACAGCAGATAATCAGCTGCCAGCTCTTCTGCTAGAGATTTCCTTGGTTTACCCTCCAGTACCATCAAAGTTGACCTCAGATTGTTTGAACATCCAGACTTTGTTTGACATAAGAAAAAGATCTGAATGTTTTATAGTAGTTTGAGTACAGAGGCATACACAGGGTCCCAACTAAGTTATTGCAGTGTTTTTCAGAATGAAATATCTATGGACACCTTATGTTTGTATGCTTGCTGCATTTGGTGTGTGTTCTCCTGAACTTTGGATGACGCTTTTCAAGTGGCTTCGACTGAAAGCTGTGCACCCAATACTGCTGGTGAGTTGCTGTTACCAAAGTCTTGGAAAATCCAGCTAGGAAGTATATAGCTTCACAGACAAGAAGTACCTAAGACCCATGAAAGAACTCATGAAAACAGCTGGTTGTTCTGTGAGCAGTGGATTGCATATGGTCTGCTTTTTCTGTCTTTTCTTCTTAGGATCACTTGTTCTCGGGTACCTGGTGATAAAGTTGCATTCACACTACAGTCTTTTATCATAAAAAGCACAGCTGTCTTCATCTCCCTTTCACTCTTCTCAATTTCTTTTAGCAAATATTTGAGACCTCAATCTTTCTTCCATATCTAGTTGGGATTGGTTAAGAAGGTCATGCACTTTTTAGGAGGAATGCAGGAGAAAGAGTACTGGTGCACAGGGAAGGCATAAGCTTTGTTTCACTGAGAAATGGGTCTTAAAATGATGTAGTAAGATGAATTTAACTGCTAAGAGTAAAACTGCTTCATAAGAAATGGTAAGTTGAATTGTTTTGTATAAGATTAGTTCATGTATATATTCATATAGAGAAGTGTGACTGAAGATAAGCTTATTACAGGGCAAACAACTCCCCTACTTCCAGCCCTAGCTTTATTCTCAATATGACAAGAGTTGCTTTGTGTGATTTTAGCAGCTTTGTGCATTGGTTTTATTAATAAAATAGGGATAGGGTATTGCTTACCCTAAATTCAAGAGGCTTATAGGAATAAATATATTATACTTAGAGGTTCATTATGTTTCCTGTGGAAATACCATACAGTGCTATATCAGAAACATTGACTGTGTCCTTTCAGTCAAGGAGTAACAATATGTTCAGGTACATGGTAAGCACATTCTTTTATATATGTCATGTTTTCTGTGACGTGGACCTGCTTTTTTACTATTAATACAGTAGATGTGTTAGTAGCTTAATACCAAAGGAATGCCTTGTGTGCATTCCTTACCAAATGTTTTCTGTACCATAGAAGCTATTTTCTCCTTGCAAAGCAAAAATTCTATCAGCTAGAATGATGGTATGCTGAGAGATGGGTTTCTGTGTCTTGCATATCAATAATGCTAATCTGAACAAGATCAGAGGTTTGAAATGCCTAGTTTTTTCCTTTCTTGTAGCATTTGAATGTAAGGTGTTTACCTTCTTCTGTTGCCTGTGTCATGTGCACATGGAATCATTGTTTCTTGAGTAGTAATTAACTGTTCCTAAAATTTATGGTAAAGTTTTTATGAGTCACATGAAGCCTTCCATGCTAAATTAGGCATGGAAGTTTTTTGCCTGGTAGAAAACCACAAAGTTTCACCTACTGTCACTCTTAAGGTTTCAGGCATAAATATTGCTCACTTTATGAGCAGAATCAACAGACACCTCAATGCTGGAGAATGGTGCATAATCCATTTTCTCTAACATGTACTTTGTAGGCTCTTATTCTGAGTATGGCAGTTCCCACTATAATTGGATTCAGCTTGTGGAAAGAGGTAAGAAAAGTACCTTTGTGGAGTTTTCTTTTTATGTAGGCACATTATGAGTCAAAATGATGAGCAAATATAATGAAATGTATTCAGTGAAATTAAATATATCTGATGAAATTGAAGCTGTCATTCATTGAAAATATGTTTAAGTTTAAAAAAAACTTCACTTTTTTGGTATAAGATATTTGACAATTTAATTTTTTAACGATCGCTTATTGTAATTAAATTGAAATTAAGACTTTATTATATTCAGCTGTTAAGCTTTGGATGTATAAACTGACTCAACAAAGAAAATACTTCCAAATGAAAACTCAGTATATTTAAAACTATGTTGCCTCAATCTTAGTTTTAGTGAAAAGGAGTAAAGTTAGATGAAGTAAAATTACAGGAGGCCATATGCAAATAAACTGAAAAGCTCCCATCAAATTATAATGGAGTTAAATTCTTTGTGCGGACCATTGTGTCGCGGTGTGTACCTATTACAATACAGGGAAGAAAAGACACAGATGTTTCCATGTTTAAAATGAATACTTAGTTCTTTATTGCAAGTCACAGACAGACTGGGGGTAGAGTATTTGGAAATTATTTTCTGAGCTCCTGTGAGTGCAAAATATATGTGAAATGTCTCATGAAGTGTAATCCTCTGCTATGCTGGCACAGCTTTAAAATAGTTTGGCTAGTCTGAAAATTCATACATAGAAGCTGGTCTTGCCCAACAGTATTTTAATGGATTTTGTAACATCTATCTTACATTGCAACCAAATTTTCTATTTTAGCCTGACTTTTTTTTGATGGAGCAATAGATACTGTCTGTAAAAAAAGCTAGAGTTGTTCAAAAGAGTTATTAAATCTATTACAATAGAGGAAATTAATTTAGTTATTAAAAAAGCAATTCCTTTCCAGATTGTTTTAATGAAAGCAGTGTGGGGTTTTAGACTCTAGAGGGCTTCATCCATTGCTGATCCAGCTTCTGCTTTTAAGCAGTGGTGAACAGTTTGCTCTTCAGGCTCATAACTCATCCCTGAGGTTGGGAATGTTGATTAGAAGTAACAGAGCAGCAAAAATGCCTTGAGACTCCTGGTCTGTTACCGTGGCTATAAAAGGCCGACTTATAGCTCAGCATCTTTTTGCTTGGCTGCCTTCTGACTGTGTCTGGCATAGTCCCTCCTCTGATTAGGTTTTTCCAGGTGCTGTGATTGATGAGTGAAGCAGGTTCTCCTTGGAGTGGCAGTAGCAGTTCCTCTTTCCATCGTTCTCTTCTGGGAATAGTTCCAGTGTATGTGTAACAGCAGTGCTGTTTGTCCCTGACACAAACCTATGGCAGTTTGCTCTTATGCTGCTTGTAGACTGCTGGCACTTGACAGCTGAGTTGTCCAGCTGATGGGGGTGGAAAGTCCTCAGTTAAAAGCAGGCTCCCACTTGTAACTGGCTGTCCACTGTGGCTGTCCCAAAGTAAGTTGTCTCTTTAATCTGGCAGAACCTGTAAACTCTATTCTTTTCCAAAAGAGCTGACATCCAGTAACTTTCACTTAGCATTTACGACAGCATGTACATGTACCTGTTCCAGCCCCTCAAGGCTGGCCAGTTTCCAGCCATGGCTTTTTCAGATAAATGCACCAAATGGCTCAAGGACTTACAAAGTGTCCCATCTTAATAAAGAAGGACCTCAAACCTGACAGGGCAGGGAAGCCATGATGCAGGGTTGCAAGATGGCCTGGTTTGAAAGAGATGGCATTCTATCTCAGAGAATCCCTCCTTTTCCCAAAATGTTTTTCAAGAGCCTAAACTGAGATATCCCACTTCACACAACGTAATGTGCTCTTCTTCACTGCAGTGATTGAAGTCAGAAGCAAGTCTGGGCACGTTACCAGGGTCTTCTAGGAAATTTTTTCTCTCCTGTCTTGCTTGCATAACACCTTTCCATCAAGTCACAATAGTCCAATCCTTCCTGCTCAAGCAGGTTTACCATGAGAGATTTATCATCTTCTTGGTTCAGTGCCCTTATTTGTAGACATTTGCATATGGCCACCTGAACTATGGTTTTGATGCATTTAAGGCCAGTTGATGTTGATGAATGTTGTTGCTACTTATTTATTTATTTTAAATTATAAGTATTCTAATGAAATAGAGAGATGAGAACTTCTGTTTAACATACTTATTTTGGAGAGGATCTCCTGCTGTCAGGTAAGTAAATGTAAGCTGAGTTTTGCAAAACATTCAAGCAAAAGTACCAGTCAGGGGGAAAACTGTTGAAACCATTTCTGTTGTGTCACTTAAGGCCTTAATGTAATGAGATGCTCTATGGATAATTTTTTAACTGTAAGTAACCAAAAACATTTCCATCAGTTTTTCCCTAGAATAATGACAGAGCTTACAGAACTGCAAGAATTCTATGATCCTGATACAGTAGAACTTATGACATGGATAAAGTAAGCATGAAGTCCAACATTTCTATTTTACTGCTTTTTGTAAAGGTATTTTTATCTCAGCAGTTTGTAGAGCTAGCTCTGTCAAGCTGGGTTTTCCCTTGGTATTTATTCGATGATGCATGGGGGAAGAAGTTTTATATTTTAAGTTTGGTATTGTTTCCATAAAAAAAACAGGAGTTTATCATGGATTACAAGAGAAGATCCTGGAACACACAAGCAAGTCGTGTTTAATGTCATTGCAGACCCAGTTTCCAAACAGGTGGAGATCTTAGATCTTTTTAACATTGCATTAGATTACAGGATTCATGTAGATTGTAATGCCAGCGGTGGACAAAAGCCCTGAAATGCTATGTGCCTGAGCCAATAAAATGAACTGCCTGAATGTAAGGATTTAGACACTTTTGTCAGGATACATGTGTTATTCAGACTTTCCCTCTGACCACAGCGGCTATGGAGCTATGTTATACAGCTCATACTGAACATATACACAGCTAATACCAAGTCATTTTCACAGATTTATTTTCCTTACCACCAAAGATTTCAGAATTGCATTCTGCCTCATTCAATTTAACTTCAAGCTATGTCATTATATGCTTTTCTGAAAATTAGATCCCTTGTGTTCAGATAACTTAGTTTTAACTGTATTTTTTTAGAATATTGCTTTCTGTATTTATGTAGTCTTTAATGTCAACCTGTTTGTCTTCACAAAAGGCAAGGCTGGTAATTAGTGTTGCAGCCAATTTCTTCTTGCTGTTGTAGTAGTGTATGTTGTTTGTCACTGCTGTAGCTCTTCAAGGCAGCAAGTGGAATAATGCCAAGTACCTAATGGCTTTTATGTTAGTCTGCATATACTTCAAGTACGTAATTAATCATGGTGAATTTCATTGAGATTCACTCAGCTATGAGCAATTTGACTACCCTTATCTGTAGCAGCTGTTCTTACTTTTAAAGAAAATAAAGATTTTTTTTTCTCATGGATATACTTAGCTGTCCACCTTGAAATTTTAATTCAATGTCATTACTACAGTATATTTTCTCAAAGTCTTCTCTCTGATAATATGAATTTGAATTTTCTCTACAGAAGTTGCCAAAGTCTGAAATATAGTGTGACAATGACTGTTTTCTTTCACTAATACAGAAATACAAATAGTAAAAAAATTATACCAAACCCAAAAACATGATTACTGTAGACATTATTCTGTGTGCTGACATTGTTTTCTCATAGATGATGAAATACATGATCAGAGCTTACATATTAAATACATAGTAGAGATCAAGTTACAACAGTCACAAATCACTCCCTTACAAGATAACATCATGATGTTTCTCCTTCTACCTACCCCCTCTCCCAAGCTTGTTTTGTCATGAGTTGGCAACCATTCAGAAAAGCAGGACTTGGATCCATTCCAGCACCACTCTGAATGGTGCTCTGTGGATTGCAAGGAGGGGAGAACAACCATCACCCCTTGCCCCAGCAGGAACCCCTCCTTTCAAACTGATTGCTGCAGGTCTGTGCTTTCCCTGCCAAGGAAAGTACTGGCACAGCAACACCATCACCAACTGTAATGAGACCCCAATGGTACCTTCACCTACTCCAGTTCATTCTGCAGCACCCTAACAGATGCCACCGTGTATAAAGTTGTTTTGATGAGTGCATCCAGTACTCAGAGTGCGTGTTGGTGTTGCTTTTGCAGACGCCAGGCTCCTGTGGCTGCAGTGTTTGCAGGCAGCCCACAGCTCATGGGTGTGATTAAGCTCTGTACAGGATGGATGGTGTCGAGCCTGCCTTTGTATAATGATGATGATCTTCTGAAAAGAAATGAGAATGTGAGTATCCAATTCCATAAATGTGGCATCTCACAGCAACTGTCTCCCTCTTCACCCAAATGTAATGTAAAAAAATTAAATGTATTAGAAGGGAGGAAGATATAGAGGTCCAGTGGACATGGAAGGGATTATCAAGTATATTATCAGTGCTCACTCTGCACAGAAACAAATATCAGAATATTATTTCTGAAGACTTTTCAGGCCACTTGGAGTATGTAAGATGAGAACTTGCTGTCATCAGAGACAAATACTTCCCATTCAACTGGCCATTGCCTCACTGGAGATTTCAAAACCAAACTTTTTTATCATTGCAGATAGGTCATTGTTGGGGGGTGTGTGTGTCCCAGTATTTAAGGTATCACTGATTTTTGCATTGCATGAACATGTTTTCTTAATTTATAGATTTATCAAATCTATTCCAAGAGATCAGCAGAAGATATTTATAAGATACTCACATCTTACAAAGCCAACTTTCTGGTTATTGAAGATTCAATTTGCAATGAAGTGGGACCTGTAAGAGGATGTAGAGTTAAAGATCTGTTGGATATTGCTAATGGTCATGTAAGTATTGGTGAGAAAAAAAAGAAATGTTTGAATGCATAAATAATTAAATTGAAAATAAGTCTTATAATGCTGGTCTTATTTTTCGTATTGTAATTGACATGTAGACAAAAACTCAGGTTTTAAAAGTGATCAGTTAAGTTTTGGATTGTCTGTTTCTTAAACTTGTCATCTTACCTAATACTATTAACTGCTCCAATCCCTCCTAACACATGAGTATCTAGCTGTGCTGCTTTTCTGACAATCATTAAGTACCATTTAACTATATAGAAATTATCAAGACTGACATCTGAATAGGTTGTTACAAAAGCAGTGAATTCCTGCCTCAGAAGGCATTCTTTACTAGCTTTGAAGATGAAATTCTAAAATGGATAAACTGAGTTCTTCTAAAACTCTGGCTGAGATGAGGACCAGCCTCCCATTTAGTTCAGCACAGACTGGTTGGTTCTGATGAGGATGCAAGTCTGTTCAGTTCAGCCTTGCAAATAGGTCAGCATACCAACAGATAGTTTAAACCACATCTGCTAGAAAGATTGGTTGAATAAACTGCACCATGAATGCTGCTTCAGTCATTGACATGTTCTGTCTCTTTGGATGTTGGCAGTGCTGCTCTTGCTGCTTAAGTAGGGAGTAAGTTGGGGTTTATAAAGTGATCTCACTGTCACTTGTTCATTGGCTTCCTGGAAATCCAGCAAAAATTTTGGTTTTAGAAAGGCAGGGAGTGGCCTTAAACTCACTTAGAGTTTCATTGCTTATTCTCAGGTCAATAGGAAAGAGGGAGTCACCTCTCAGCAATATAGGAGTGGTATGTTTTTAGGGGATTACTCTATATTTCCCCAGAAATCTACAGCTTGTGTCAGTTTCACTTCTAAGTTTCATGACTATCCATGAAGGATATTGTCTCCATTTTTCTATTAACTTCCTTGCCATTGCTGAAATCTTACTATTTCTTTCCTAGTCTTGCTGCTGAAATCATGTATGCTGTGATTATTCCAGGATATATCCAATATACTGTACCATAACTAAGTGTGCGTGTCTGAATAACCTCCATGATTGTTAATCTGCATGTTACCTCTCAGTTTCTTCTCAGATCTGTGTTTGCATGAGTAAGTTCCTGTTTCCTCTTCATACTTAGGATCTCCACTGGAGCAATTAACCACAATTTCAGGATTCCATGCCCTCATACCCCTGCATCTCTCATCTTCATGCTTCCTGAATGCTTCTCTCTCACACATAAGCTTGATAATCCTTTTTGTGTTTTTTGTTGTTGTTTTGGGGGGAGTGGTTGGTTTGGGTATATTTGGGTATTTTTCAGAAAACTGACATCATTTGTTCTGTAAAGTTAATGAAGTGTATTGTCTCAGGAAGCTTTAAACAAATCTCTCAGTTTGCATGTTAACAAAATTTGTTTAGGTTGTATTGGTAGATTATCAAGGTACTCCAAAGTAGTGGAAGCTAGTGAATACATATTTGGAGACTGCAATGCAGCATTTACTTACTCCCAAAGTAGGTGAGACAGTGGACAGACAGTGTGTTGACAGGTCTGTGGATGTGTTTTGAATTGCTGTGTTTAAGAAGATAAGTACTACTCTATAGCTTGTGCTACATCCTGTAGTCCTAGTCCAATATCTTGTTTTTGACACTGGCTGAGAGCATAGGTTTACTGATAGGGAAGGACAAATGTTTTCCAGCAGTCTGTTGCTGAAAGACTGTAGCTCAGGGCAATTGTCTTTGTGTTTGGAAGCCACTGGTGGATTTTTCCTCATGAGTTTGTACTACCATGTTTTTTTAAAACCATGTAAATTTGTGCATCAGAAGGAATAATGAAGGGATTTCTTCAGGGATATCAGACAGTAGATCCTAGAAAGTCGTTTGCTTCCAAGTCACTTGGTTGGAATTTGTAGGGAGATGTGTGTGTGTGTATCTTTAGTCTTTATTAGGTATGTCAGACTTAGTTGGCCTGGGAAAGGTGATGGAGATTTTAGTTTCCTTCATACTGGTATGTCCTGTGCAGATCAGGTTTGAACTACTGGGTAAACAGGGCACGTGCATAATTTCCACTGCTGTTGTTCTTTATAATATGAATGAAGTACACTGGTTTTAATGTCTGCTACCTTGACAAAGGGATTAATTCACAAAGGCTTTTTTAGTTGGTTAAACAAATTACAGGGGAACGTGTTTTCAGTTTATTGGAACTGTACAATGTGGAAATTAAATGTCTATCATAAATGAAATTTACAGAATACAAAAGTTAATTAAATGTACAGAATTACATGCTGTAATCACTTCAGTACTGTAATTAGGTCTTTTTTTTTTTTCTGACAGGTGGTTTGTGAGGAAGGTGACAACTATGCCTACTCAAAATATGGACGATTTTGTCATGAAATCAAAATGAACTATTCTCCATATGTGAATTATTTCACTCGAGTATACTGGAATAGATCCTACTTTGTATATAGAATCAACACTGTGATATCCTTCCAGTCCTGAAAAAGCATGCAAGCTTCTTTCTGAGGATTGTTTGTGAATGAATTTCAGTTGGAAAAGTTCCTTTTGAGCAAGGAAGTCTATTTTTGCAGATAGATGTGCACACATGCAGTGTACTGACAACTTTACCAAACTGAAATTCTTTGATCTACAGATCAGCTGACACTTATGCCATCCTTGAAGGAAACGAGAACATTTATCAGTTTCACAGTCTCTACAATGTGCTACAGTCTTCCATGTTTTTACATTTTTCTTCCCATTAGAAATCATCTTAATCTTCATGTAAATGAGATTTCTGATTTTAGTGTTAGAGTGTTGATATGCGTAGACTTCAGTAAATACAGAAAAATTATTTAAAGAGCTTGTTTAAGTCATATAGCTTTTAATTTTTAGCAAGAAAGCAATCACTATCCCAAGTCTTTTCAAGTAAGTGTTTGGATTTTTTGTTTGGGGTTTCTTTTTGTTTTGTTTTAATTCTTCCTGTCTTCCATGGTAAACATTTCTGTGTTTCTCAAACACACATTTATACATCTTATGTGTAGCTATATAGTTTTTATAAATGAAATAAGGAAGATTTTACTTAAACAACACTTCCATAGATTAAGGCACTGATCTCTACATTGTCGTCTCTGTTGTCTACAGAGGCATGTTGGTGGAAATGCTAGGAATTAGACCTAGCAATAGGAGCTGACAAGCTCAGATCTTCAGTTTGGAAAGAACTTGTCTTCAGCATTTCTCCACACTTAGGTGTTTATGTGTGCATGCATAAGTGTGTCTTTCTTGGCAGCCACCAGAATGGGCCAGTATATCACAGTATGCCACACTTGTTTTCAGGCAAGTGTAGCAGGACAGCCAGGTTTGCTACCGAGACTTCTGCACTTCAGTTTCACCACCTGTGTGTGTGCTGGTACATGTGTGTATGTGTGGGCAGATGGGTGATACTCATTTCATTCAACTTATTATGCAATAGCTATGTTAAGATAGTGCCATAACTGTCATTTAAAACACTATAATCACCACCATTAATAAATAATGGTACAGGTGTTCATAGCTATTTTTATATCAATTATGCAGATACACAGATCTTTGAAAATTTGGCAATTTTGCTTCTCTCTAAAATTTGTTATATGCCCTTTGCCTCTACAACTCCTTTTCTTAACAGATTATCTGTTCATCCTGTTTGTTGCTGGCTGATAGACTTTCAAGAAAATGAATGATGTTTTAATTACAACTCTGGGCCTAAACCCAGTGTTGAGAATGGAAACTCCAATAAAAAGTAACAGTAGCTTTGCTTAATGTAGATGTAACTGGACAAAAAGCCAGGACTAAGTTTTGGAAGAAGTTGCTCACCCCATAGGAGTTACCTGCAGTTACAAATTAATGTAACACCTGGCCCAGAGACCAGTCTATCAGGTATGTGGGAATGATTCTTTGGAGCCCAGATGTCTTTAATAAAGGATCTGGCAAAATAGGATGAATCCTCAGCTGAAAAATCAGCAAACCATTCTGCAAGTGGAAGCTGCAAAACAATCCTTACTGCAAATTGGAGATTTTAACTCTGAAGTTATTAGGAACTGCAGCATGTTGTTGTATGTGCATGATTCTTCTCTGCTCTGTGCAGATACACTTGCTTATTTTACACTGACATGTAGTGCTGAGATTTTTTAAAACTTGTTATCACTTTTGGAGTGATTTAAAAGAAAAAAGCTTTATTGTTGTAAAAGCTAACTTGTCTGTAATGTTTTTTACTTTCAGTTACATTTTTAGGACTGTGAGTCTTGACAGAATGTTAAATTATGCATTTTATGTGAAACCAACATTCAGATAAATCCATCAAATATATGGGGTGTTGTCACTGAGAGAAACATTTATCCATATAACTGAGTTACAAGTAAATATCCCTTCTGGGCATACAGGCATCATGTTGGGGATAGTGTGTACCTGTGTGTCTGCTGGAGTGCAGGCTGCATGTATTTGCTTGTGCACAAGTGCATGTTTTACTGCACTGGGCTGTTTCAGACTGCTCAATTACCATATACCAACCAACACAAGCTTGTGTATTAACTTGAGCTATGGCAGGCCTGCAGGAATCCCCTCTGTATGTGTGGATATAGATGTAATATTTGGAAGTAAGTCTACAATTCCTTTTTCAATTTAGGTTTGTTTGAACCCCTGTCAAGGAATTACGTGTCTGTGTGTTGGTCATTTAATCTCTTGAAGTTAGTGATTCATGAATATCACTTCATATCAGCAATAAGGCATTCCAGGTGCAAACTTCAGGGTTACACCTGTGCTTGGGTAGATGAAGTTGCAGAACTTCTGGCTTCATGCCTTGGACTGCCATGCTGAGATGTAACATTCAACTGTCCTTGGCTGCCTGTTGTGTTTTACTACAATGTTGTGTATGTTACCATGTAGAACATAGTTTGAACACATACATGTAGAGCACACATATTAAGAAAACCACAAATGAGGCCACCCACGCATCTAAGCAAAACTGTCTTGTAGCACATTGGCCTTTATACATGTTTAAATGAATGAGTTGAACTTTATTTGAATTGTGACATAGTTACTGTTATTAATTTTGTCATAGTTTGTAAGATGTATTCTTGATACTTCAATTGATTCTGCTTTAGGAGAATCATTTAAGATTTTTACCTTGCTTTTTATATTAGAGAAAATTATATTGCAGCACCATCGGCACAGCAGCCTTAAGTAACAGAAGGAGCCTTTTATTTGGGAGAACATTGTGGTTGTTCCTGTAAAAAGGCATAATTAAAATTAGTGACTGAAAGAATAATATCTTAGAAAGTGAATTAATTTCTTATCCAGCCATGGACTAGCAAAAATACTGTCTAATCTCCAGCTTCTGTGAAAAATAATAAGTTCCAGTGATACCCCTTAGTGGGACAATAGGGCATAATTACACCAGATTGTGCAGACAACCCTGCTTGGTTTTCAACCAGATCACAGGTTTAACTCCCTGAAAGGGTTGTGGGAAAGTTTTACAAATTTTGATCTGCTTTGCTGTAGATGTTGCAATTCAGTTGAAACATGTGCCTTGCAAGCTTTTATTAAACAAACAAAAACCTCAATTCATGTTTCTTTTTGTGAAGATTTTTAAAAAAAATTCCTGTCCCTCTGATTTCTAGAGTTTCTGTTGTGTCTTAATATGCCAGCCTCCGAGGATGCCCAAGTGGGACAGCTGGGATATGTTCCAGCCATCTAACAGCTGTTCACTGGGAAGAATGAGAATTTGAATAACAATTTGTGTGACTATTCTGCTGGCTTATTTCCTCCTTCACATTTCCACTTTCTGATATACTTGATCTTAGTAAATGCAAACAAATTATCTTGAAAAAATAAATTAGTATAGTATTTTCAGGCACCTACCTGTTACCCTTAGACTTGTGTATCAAAGTTTGACCAACCCACAGCTAAACTAACATACACAGTTTTGTCTTAATCCTAAAAAAATGCTCTTTCACTTCCTGAATTACCACATACTTGAACTCAGATTTGACAGGAGATGGTTGAGACTAAGGAAAGGTATTTCTGAGCATAAACTTCTATTCATATTATTTAAAAAAACATTGATTTCGTTTCTTCCAAAGTAAATGGAAATACAGTTCATTGCAACACAATTTTAAATACATTTTCCATGGGGGTGGGGAGTAAGGAGAAGAGACACAAATGTGGAAGAAAGAGGGCCAGAAGGTTTCACAGGCATCAAAAATTCTTCGAACTATTTGCTCTGGTGGCATTACTATATACTGAAAGGTAGAGGCTAGGGACCAAGTCTTGTTCTTACCACCTTATTTTCACTAAGTCATCTTCAAGTGTCCAGACCTTGTGATGTTCCATCAGCTTTTCCATGCAATACACATGAAAAGGAGCTGCAAGATGAGGTTGTAGGGATTTTAAGGTATCCTTGAAATACTGCTTAAAACCTCATATAACCTGTCCTTCAACCAACACTCCGACAGGAGAAGGTGTAGGCTGTGCTTGTGAATGTGTGGGCGTGTGCACACATTATGTGCATTTATAGGTGTCTGTTTTACTATTGTGTTTTGGAGATGGAATGAGGAACTTCTCTTATCACTAAGGTGATTGAATCTGTAAGTCTGGTAAATATTGATGGGCAGGTGGACTCTGGAGTACTGTATTGGAGATGAAAGAGAAGCAGAACTTTATTCCAACACAAGCAATATTTCATGTGAAATAATACCTCAACATAAATCTGCATAATCATGCTTTAATACTCTTTTTTAAACCTAACTGTAGAGGGGAAAAAAGTGGGAATTCTAAGACATGCCTTGTGTGTTATCTTAATCTTTTCTACTTCATCAGTACAGCTAAAAAAAACCCCATTATGTTGCTGCACTCTATGCCAAATGCAGAGCTAGTGATGCCTAAAGGTCTTCTGAATTGTTTTGTACCTCAACAATGTGTTTAAATGTAATTAATCTGGCAATGGTTTTGGTTTCAGCACAGTTAAATGTATGTATTTCTGCCTTTCAAGTGATGTTTAGGGTTACCTATTTATTTGATGGGACAGAAGGTTTAATGCCTTTCAAAAATTCAAACTTGTTTACTTCAGTAATGCAGAGGAATTATTGGTGGTGCTTTACTTGTCAACAGTGATGTTCAGCAGTAATGTATGTGGCATATGGACTTATCTATGTGCAGCTATTTAATAACAAGTCTAAGGAATACAATTCCTGTTATCCTGTTTGTTGTCTTGGACAGTTTTTTATCAAAATGATGTATACATAATAAATATTTTTCTCTTGTAACAAATTCTTTTTCTGTAGAAAAAAAAAAATAATAAAAGCCAAGTCCAGAATGTATGGATTGTTTGGGGCACAAACCATTTTATCCTTTGAGAAGTCAAGGGAAGACTGTGCAGCATGGCTCAGAAGTCTGTCTTTGACAGACAGCATAAACAGTCTTGCAGCTCTTGAGGACAAGCAGCCTGCGCAGACTGGATCCATATGTCGTGCTGACTGTGGCTGCTTGTTGAGACATTTGTGTGAGGATGAACAGCAAAATGTGAGCTGCTTCATATGGAATTACTGAACTCCGTGACTTTCTCCCTAAAGATCTTCCTACAGCAAGCACGTCACCTGGAAATAAAGTGCTATGCAATGTCAAATGCTTACTGATTTAATTTTTTAAAATCTACTAATGTATTATCTGCCTTGAATTTTTACAGATAATGATTACATATTTTGGAGCCCTCTATTGTTTATACAATATTATTAGTAGGAATCTTTGAATGATTAGTTGAATGATTAGTTTGTAATAATTTAGCATGTAATGATACAAAATCTTGATTTTTTTTTAGTTAAATTCTAAAGACAGTACAAATACCCTACAGAGCACTTCTCCAAAAACAGATCATTTAGAACCTGAAAAAAATTACGTATTTACATCTTTAATTTATAATGATTCTGAGTTTGAGCATTTATCAGACTGCTTTGTTTTAGGCTAGTCAGGAGATGAGCTGATGTTGAAGTGTCCAAGTTTAGCCATCCAAGCAACCAGGCTTTGTGGTTGCTTAGCTCAAAGGGGAATGGAACTTCCTGGCAGCAGGAAATTCATCTTGGTATCTGTGTACTCTTCTGTGCCTTTATGCAAAAGTCAGACTGTGGTTACTAGCTGTGAAATAGAGAACATTCTATTACATATAATAGAATTTGTATTGGTGTATGTCTATAAATAGGTGTTTTATATGAGTCTGTATCACTGTACAAAATACATATTCTGTTTATGATCAATGATTTAGAGGTGTTAGGTAAAAGTACTGTTGGTCTGATTATTTTCCACCTAAATAGTGGTTCTGGAATATGTTTGTAGACCTAGTTTTTCAGATTTTCCAATTTTTGCAGTGACCCAGCCTATCATACTTCAACCCCTGTATGCTTTCAGGTTGCTTAGGACGTTTTTTAATGGTAATGAAATGCATCTTGTTATGGATTAAACTGCATATATAGAATATACCAGCATTAAGCAATCCTGAGTATTACAGAGCTATTCAGTGGGTTGTAACACACCATCAGTACATTTACTTTCAGAACCTTGATCAGCTTTACAATGCCTTGCGATTTCTTCTGTTTGAGTTACACTGTACTGTCTGCTGTCAAACCATGACTCCTGCTGGTGCTCTACTGACTGGTAATGGAAAGACCCAAAACATGTTGAGACTGACTTTATTTTTAAACTGCAATAAATACCAGAGTATTCTGTAAGGTGAGGGTGAATGTAAAGTGATGTCTTAAGCTATTCTGCCCTCTGAAGCAAGTTGAAAAAGGACAGGTAAGAATGCAGCTCCATTCTTCACTGGCTCATGTTACACTCTCCATAAGACTGAGCACAAGGCTGTGTTCTCCCTGGAGTAGCTGCTGGGTGCACCTGTGGTTTCCATGGCTGATCTGACTTTAGTTCTGAGCAGTAAGACAAAATCACTGCAGCAGAAGTGACTAAACCATTTATGCAGTTTTGGAAAGGTACATTAAAATCAAGCCTGTTTTTAATTTCATTACGAAAACCTCTTTCTGAAACACATGTAGTTCTGAAACACTAATGGTCATTTTTATCTATTTCAGCATTGTTAGCACATGGATAAATGCTGCTCCTTTCTTGTTTCCTTTTTTTTTTTTTTTTTTTTTTTTTTTCTCTCCTCCCAAGTTGGCCTATTTTTTGACAATCTGAGTTGTAGTCCAGTCTGCTGGCTGCATTCCAGGGGATTGTCCCAGCTGTGAGGGAGGGCCAGAGGAAGGCTGTTGGGCTTGCTGATGTTTTGGCTTCAGAATGGCAGTACTTAAATTTAGTGGTTGCAGTTCACAGTACTCAGTTCACTAGATCAGATTTGCTTAAGAACCCTAAAACTAAATTTCCCTATGATTGTTTGGCAATAGAAGCTGGCACTGTTCTGAAGATATCTGTGTTGTTTAGACAATATCTAAGGAGGTTATTTACTTGTATTTATTTCTTGTCTATGTTGTTTCCTATCGAAGCCAAGAGCCATCTCTACTATCCTTATTGAGAAGTCCTGTTGGATTAACACTGGATCAGTCTCTGTGGATTCTGCTTCAGCTTTGCAGGAAGAGACAAATTCCTTTAGAAAACATGGCTACACTCAACTGTGTTTGCATTTCTTTATATGGTAGATTAGGATCTGTGGCCATAAATATCTGTACATTTGTTTTGTTGTCACACAGGTTTTGTGTAATTGGGTGTCGAAAATAACACAGTTGTGCTAGTGAGTATCCACAAGGTGAGCTTGGCTCTGGTTCTGTTCTGTGAGGTGCCCTAAATTCTGGCAGTGGGAGTGACATGCAGGAGAAGTCTGAATTTCCATCACCAAAATGCTGTGTTAATGTAATAGAAATACGTTAAGTTCATAGGTGTTCATAGGGTGGGAGGGAATACTGTGAATAAAATGTAGTTTATATCTTCCCAGGCTGTAGGGGAAACTGCATGTTTCTTCTAAGTGCTTGAATAGAAGAGAATAGAAAAGGTAGTGTGTCCTGTAATGTAGGCTAAAAATGGGAAATTGATTTTGAGAGGATTTAATTTGCTTGTTGAAAGTTGTGTAAGGATGCAACACACTTCAGAAGAGGGAATGCTGTGCTGTGTCTCGGTACAGAGCTAAGCTTGTCCTAAACTGAACGCTTGTTTACATGGTCTAGCTAGCTCATTAAGTGTTTTAAATTAATGAGCCTTCTAGTGTCTTTGTGAAGGAAGGAATTAGGGCACAAAGAGCAACCATAGCATATTCAAAGCTTGCTACAGCACATTAACCAGGCATGGATCTCTGGGTGGTTACTTTCATGTTGTTACTGGTAAACCATTCTGTAAAACTCTGGTTTTACTTTTTGCCTTCCCAGTCTGAAATCTTGTATTGTGCCAGATTTTAGAAGCTATCATCCCTTCACCTTGAGGGAGTAAAAAAATAAAGCAGCTTGTAATAATAGGATGTGATCTCCCAACAATTACCTCTCCTTAAAACTGGTAATTCCCCGGCTGGCACAGGCGCAGGTCTAGCGGTTGGTTGTCACCTTTGACTGTTGCCTGTAATATTTGACTAAAG